CGATATAACGAATCAGTGTAGTACGAGGTAGCGTTAAACGATGTGTTAATCTCTGTGAATTGCCTTTCACTAATACCACGCAGTTGGAACTTTGCCAATATCTTACTTCTGTTTAAGATATCATGCTGCCTGCCGGCGCCCCCAAAGTTGAGTATGGTCTGTTCAGCGCTTCTGGACCATATCGGAAACAAGAGCCAAAGTTATGCGACTGTGCTTCCAACGCTTCGCATATTGGTGATGTTGTGTGAACACGAATTCGGCCTTTCTACTGTGAAAAGGTAAAACAGTCTCAGATTTACTGTTATCACTGTACAAGTGCTGTTTTCAACTAGAAACTGTGCATGATTCACGGTGCACATTAGACAATTCAAGATGCGTTGCATGTTAATTTGATTTGCTTTCAATTGTCAGGTCAAATTTTTTCGTTCTTATTGTCTGCGATTAATGTTAACCAAGAATTAGGAAATTGGTTTTTACGTAAAATTTGAACTGATTTCTTCTTCCTACACTGGCGGTTTATTTCTGTATTTTAAACTGATCAATAAAGTGTTACTTAAGTTTTTCGAAATGAATGATGTAATAAGTTTACTCTCTTCTCAAATTGTGTTAGCATTAAAATACATGGTCATCGAGTATCTGTGAATATCTGAAACAGGATTAGCACAAAGTCACGGCCTCATCTTCAGTTTATGCTGTTTCACTTATTTGCAGCTTTATGACCATGCATTTGCATGCTTTCAGAATTCTGGAAGGCAACAAATTCGTATGTCGTATTTGAGGTGTTTTAGTCATTTCGAATACTTTGAAAAACAAAGGCGACATTTTGTTGATCACTGTAAAATACACAAATGAACCGACCGTTCAAGGGAAACAGACAGTTAAATTCAAATCTGCTATTATAAAGCGAATTTTCAATTCTGGATTCATGTTATTGGCTGAAGAGAAAGATTAAACAATTTGACCTCGCGCTCTTACTATTCCAAATGAATCACGTTTATTTTCTTTTGAAGAAGTTAAAGAAGTTTGCAAGTGTATGGTCATCAAGCAGCTGTGAATATTCGAAACGGTCTTAGCTGATAGTTATCTTCACGTCTAGTATCTGTGCTGCTTCAACGAACTGATCTGTACGGTACCGCTATAGATGTGATGTTAGACTGTCGATTAAAATTCATACATTTTTTATGCATATTTGTGAATTAGTCATCCACATTAAATTGTCTTCCTCCTCTTCACTGTGGTAACTGCCACTTCTGATTTCTGATCGTCATTTGTGAAATACATTCTGATCAGGAAATCATCAATTATGGATTGAGTTTTAGTACTTTAATTTTGTTCTTTTGTGTTTGAGCTTTTGGTTTTGTTGGCATTTGTGTCTGAAATTTCCTTAAATACATAGAGCCTGTTGTCATTCATTTAGACTGCTGCTGTGCAAGCGTTCTTCGGTGCTCAACATTCTCGATCGTCTGATACATGAATTTAGCAGTCATAGTTCAGACTGTCTCAGCACCCTCTGTACCCTAGTCGAGTTATTAGGTTTGCTGCAGAGTCTTCCAACAAGTGAATGCAAGGCGAGAGTCGATGACAAACGAACATCGTTCGATACGGCATTCCTGCGGGAGATTTTCGACTGGAAAAGCCAGCCACACCAGTCGCTCCCTCAGCATCCGTTAACGAAGCTGTCGAACATGTTACAGGTAGGTTGCATCCGTGACTGTTCACTTCTGTTTATCACAGTTTGACTTGTGATGTAGGAGAAGGCGAAGGAGGACATCACTCTTCACTCACTTCACGACAAAGTCGAAAATATCATCGAACATCTCATGAGTGCATCTGATTACGTTTTGGCAGAAGGTAAATTTTTTGTCCTCCTCAATGGTTCACTGAAGTCTCACTTTGCTTTTTGATGCAGGTTGTAAAATGGAGGTCGATGAACCGGATATCCCCTCTGCACTGGGCGTTGCAAAGCAATTCAGTTTACGTAAAGTGTACGCAATTTGTAAAGAGGTAGACGA